AGCATGTCGTTTTTTCAAAGATGGGTCCCATATAAACGCGGCCAGAAGTATTTTCAATACTAAAAAAATTTTTGAGATGTACTTACCGGTTTTTTTAGCACCAATCGTTTAAGTTTAATCACAACAATCAACCAAGCATGCGTTCAGCGCTATCTTTTTAAACAAAACAGGTGTCCACTGCTGGAATTTTGCCAACTTTCTTGTACGACCTAAAAATAGACTGCCGCATATTACCCGATGCGGCATATTTTCCCGCTTTACTCTATGTGTTCAGGTTAAAGCCAGCGTAAAATAGATATTTTACAGGCTAGACATTTAATTTTGTTGGTGGCTGTTGGTACATTCAAAAAAATATCTAGTTTTTAATGTTAAACATGTTTATTAAACGACTAAGAGAAGTGCTTTTTTAATACAAAATAAAAAAATGCAAACCTTGCACTAAATCTTTGGCTGAGATAAAGCTTCTGCTTAAAAGTCATGACTTAACTCGATAAAATAAATAAAAAAAACTTATTACAAACCAAACATTAAATTTTTACAAACTAAATTTCTTTAACATCGATGTCTTTTTGAAATATGCATATAGCTTCACCGCCGATATCTCGGGGGTATCGAGGGTTTGGAAGCACTGCTAGAATGTCAGAGTTATCAATAACAAATTGATCATCTTCCACCGCTTTAAATTTATTCTTCGCATCACCAATAGATTTCATACCCATCACTTCCACTCCTTCATCTGTTAGCTTCTGAATAATTGAGATATATCTATACACTGTTTTTTTTTTCGACTGTGCCCTAAGACCAATTTCGCCCCATGTATGTAATCAATTTGACCCCGGCCTTAAAAATTTGAAATTCCCGCGAACTTATTAAACTTGTTGCCGAGCGCCTCAACATGGCGGCTTAGAAGACATAAACTAACATGTGCTTAAAGGCCAAATAAGGAAAATTATCATTGTATTTTACTTTACTTTATTTAGTTAATTAATTTCGACAGCGTTTTTTGCAAAAAAAAAGATAAAAAATGGCACACTCGATTGCATACGTCTTGTCATTAAAGCTTTAGTAAACAAGACCGATGCACACCACCGCTTCTAGTTGCATAAATTTGGGGCTAAATTTAAAAATGTGACTAAACCATGTAATTATAAATTTCGCCCCCGGTTATCAATTTCGCCCCAAACTACGGTACTAGTTTATTATTAGTTTTTTGAAGTTAGGTGATATTAGTTACCTATATTCGCATCATCATGGGCTATAATCAATTGTAGATTATTCGTCAATCAATCTGAAATATGTAATATTATTTACTTTACATTTGAAAAAATTATCAATATCTTTTTTTTTTATGAAAATTTTGAGGTTAAAATTTAAATGTCATCAGAATACAATATACGTCAGTATTTAACATTTTATCACAGGTAATGTTCTTATCTGTGATTTTATGCTAAAATGTTTAGTTTTGTGAAAATATTACCTTCCTATAATATCTAAACGAGTTCCTGAATGTACAATTTGTTTATCACGATGTCTAGGTCTGAATCTTGTATTGGTTGTCTAAAATTGTTGATTTTGCTTCTAAAATTATTTTGCATCCTATATTTTTATATTTGTATATATATATATATATATATATATATATTTTTTATATTGTATATTTTGTTATACAAAC